CAAGGATGAGCGTTTATGATCGCGCAAATAGGTTCATCAGGTACAATTACAGCAAGTTTCTCCCATTATGATAGTGAGTTAAGGTACTAACGGAGTGCAGATTTTCACTGATGTAAAGACTAATTCAGTGTGACCCTCATTGTGGTCGTACTTGTGCATGGCGAACCTGTTAAAGCCAACTCACTCTGCATCTGAGGAACCCACCGACATTCAGGTTACTGTCGCTTCAGCCATATGGAGTTTGTTGTGCTTAAAATTCATCCCGTTTTATGCTTTCGGAGTCGAATACTGCCAGCGCCAATTGGTCATCTTCCCCAGTGAACATTGGAGAAGGTGCTCTGGAACTATCAGAAACTAATGCCGTTCTGACTTCCTTGTTCACCATTTCGGGTACACAAACACGACTCTCCAGCTGGTTTGGTTTTTAAGGCTTAGACCAGCATCCTGCACATCGTCAAAACTCTGAGGTGCCCAGAATGCGCTCCAGGTTATTAGGTATTAATGAGCAGATTACGAGTTGAAGGTCAACCTTACGGTACCCAGACGTGACACAGATGAGAATAAAGAAGGTCAAATTTGAAGTTAGAATAAAACCCCTGAAAAGGGACGGCCAGAAAAAGCACACACTTTGGAGAGCAGCAAATCCAGGAGCTCAGTGTAACCCGGTAATCAATCAGAGGCAAGTTGTCACTAGGTGACTCACAACAAAACCGGTTATCTCATGAAATCTCTCGGTTAAGCTGTAGGGTTTTGGCCAGTCAGAATAGACTTCTGGTATAGAGAGCATAATCTGGTTTTATTTAATTGTCCGAAATGCAAGATATCAGAGCAATTTATATTGCCGCCCGATTCATGTTAAAGCGTAGGTCTGGAACCAAAGTTTTATGACTGCAAACGTGAGATTCGTTAGGTGACAGGAACAGCTATCATGTTACATTTTATTTTCCCCATCTTGATAAAAGCAACCCGTTTAACAAGGGACTAAAAATTCTGTAACTACCAACTCATGCTTCTTTAGATTTTGGCGATTAGACATGTGACCCTTCTCAAAGGTTCTAGTGGATGTTTGAAGGCAGACTTCATTCTTCATTAAAAAAAGAATAAGTTTGACGTTCTGCAAATTTCTGTGGATTATACACCCGTGAAAAAAATCAGCGTGTGACTTTTTGGTGTATATACGTATTGCTCAAAAGCTCATACAAAGTCTGCTTGTATAAATAGTGCGGATTAACCAGGTCATGGTCGTCGGATCTTCATTAGCCAGAATAAAGTAAATCCTTGATGAACTGTAGACCCATTGTAGACTGCTAGCTTTATGTCATGATTTGAAGTTTGGTAGCGACATCGGTGGATCTATACTCATTGTTTCTTTGTAACATGCCTGGTGCTTTAGTAGTAATAAATTAGCCTCTTCTGCCTTCATCGCTATGGCCGGGGTGCGTTTTTTTTACCACGACAGATTATCCCGTCCGCATAACACATTTTTCAGAAGGGCAGTTCATGTTCTCGGTACCATTACAGAGGCGGGTGTGTTTACAAACAGTGAAAAACGGAGCCTACCTTATTCATTAATAATCTGGATTGCTTATGGATCAATAATAATAATGATCAATAAGCTGGGCCCATTATCATGGTCTCATCATTACTACTGAATGAAAGGTCTAATGCGAAGTCAGTCGTCTATACTGCGCCAGAGCGAAACAACAGTGTTTTCGAGAGATACAATCAGATGTGTCCAGAAAACCAACGTTCCAAAATCGTACAACGAATACAGCTTGTCACCATGGGCATGGAGTATAGTTGTATAAAATTGTATAATTGTATAATGAGCAAGTTTGACGGGCATATTTTCGGAGGATTGTTGGCCTGTTTATCAGCTGACTGAAAACGCTGCAATAAGCAACCTATTAAAAACTGAATTCACTTTCTTCCATTCTTGCCACTATGGTTTGAAAAGAGCACATTGAGACTACATAGTAATAGATAGATCCACTGGCAAACACCCAGATTTGTCACAGTAGGCTCAAAGTTTGTTAAAAACACACGAGTTTAGCGTGATTATCACCGATGATTAGTAGTGACACACAGTGCTCCAAGACACCTCATGGAGATGACAGAAAACCGATGCATCAAAGAGTAATGAGGTACATTACCAATGCGGCATTCTGCATGACTCATGGTGAGTTGATTCTATCAATTGACTGAATGAGTAACCAGCAAAATGCACAACTAACCGACGGAGACACCGACAGCTTCACAGACATCACTGGCAACGAGTTCACGACAGCTGAACGTGGTTTAGTATTATTGATCAAACCAAATAAGATGTGTGTTGGGAATCCAGTCAGTAGTCCGCAACACCTCAGCTGTGTCTGTATTCAAGCCCTGCAAGCATCCATTATGGTTTTCACGCGGTGATCCACAGTCTGGAACTTCACAATGCAATTTAAACCCATTTTTTGACAACTGAAAAAGTTGAAGATAAACAAACAAGCCCACCTGACACCTGTGTGGTAGTGTGTTTTCAGTGTAGTCCAACAAAATATTTTCATATAGACTTAAGACACCATTCATAGGGTTTCTGAAAACCCTTAGACAGCTCACGACCGATTTCACCGTTTTTGGGGCCAATCAGGTGGGCGCAGTTCCCAGGTTTCTGTCAACCTTATGTTTTGCTTGAAAGCGAATTGCACGAAATTAGCCAAGTACACTTAGTTGTTTACCAATTTGATTTGACGGGAAACTCACCTGGAGCCCAGCTGAATCTCTCGCCTATAAGAGTCGCAATACTTTCACTTCCGGTTGTAAGGAAAGAAATGTTTGCTTTTCGCTTGATTTCATTCCGAGAGCAATCGCAGTATACACTTCTAGCTTGTCTGTTACGAGGAAACGGTATTTAGTTCCATGGATTAATATTTGTCATAATCAGTCACACCGAGCAATCGATCTGTGTGTTTGTTGTAATAGGAGGCTATTCGATTGGCAACGAAGTTTGAAATAATGTAAGATTTGTGCAATGTTTTTGCACTCACTTCAAAGACATTCCCGTTACATATTTGTCCGAAACGGGGAGCAGTCTAATGCATCAAATTACGCTGACTCCAGGGGGTTTTATTAAAAACTTTTGGGGTAAAATGAAGACATACTCGGTGTATTCTGCCATATGCGGTTTTCAAATCTTTCTTGATTCGTCATGTGATAAAGAAGACAAATCTGTTTGGTCGGACGTAGTTTGACATGGTGAAGTATTATAAACTAATTTGTTTTCATGAGTTTCATGCATGCACCCCTCCAAAAATTTAATTATCCTTACAAATCACGTCGTTATAAACTTGAGGAGAACTCGATGCAATCCATTTGACTTTTGCGTACTTGCCCACCAACCTTGTCCTTTCGAAACACAAAGAGTGCCATCCGCAAAACCGGATAATGAACAGCGCACAGACTTCAAAGCATAGAACAGGGTCGACAGGCTACGCATTAGGATAGTCTTCAGTCAACCTACTAATGACACCGGTAACCATTAATTTAGCCGACGCAGTTGTTCTCGTCCACCGGAAAACCTTAAACTCACGGTGGCGCGAACCCAGATCTTTTCCAAATAACCATCACCAAAAAATTAACCGTTTCTACACAAAAGAGATTAGAAAAAGAGGATATGAAATCTGTAATTTTAGTTTTATTGAATAGGATAATAATTTGCATGAAAACGTCCGTTTTTGGTACCTTTTCCACTACTGGGGAAGGATTCACCCTGCACGGTTTTTACGGCGAGATATTAGCATTTTATCGATCTCGACGTGTAGACCTGAACCGCCGATGACTGTTGTAGTCTGCAAATGCCGCCAGACGCAAACTTCGCGAAGAAAGTTCTTCCAGTCAACAGCGGTTGTGTGGCTGATAGATAATTCCTGTGAGCAGAATTTGGTTTTTTGCAAGTTTTTGGACCAGCAGTAAATGAATAGAAATACTGTCCTAAACTCCAACCTAGACCGCTCCAGCCAAGTTCTCTTTTGTAAGATTTCTTGCCGACACTTTCGGGCATTACACCTCGATCTGCCAGAGACAGTTGAAGGTGTCATTTGTTGGCCATTTTTCCATAAACCTTGCTGATGGATCACTCCATGGATTTGCAAAAAACGTATTGCCATCTCCTTGTCATGAACGAGAGTTGAAAGCTTCAGATAGTTCATTTAAGGTTTTCCGTCCGAACGGAGAAAAGTTTTGTACAAAATGAGCCTAAATGCGGATAAGGAATTATTTTCATCAAAAATAGGTCGTGGTTGTGTGCGTGCATTAGATTGAGGCTGGCGAAAATTAGCGGGGCTTAACTTTTCGCACATGCACCTTTTGCCTTCGTGACGGGGCTTAACTGGAAAAGGTCCGCGAACCCCTCTGTTTTAAACCTTTGTCGTTCAAAGGATGGTGTTAAGAATTGCACACTGCTGACGAATGATGAAGTGATTTCGAATCACACTTAAACTAAAACAATCATTACATCGTATATGGTTTATGAACATGTACTAGAATATGCACGCCATGTTCTTTCGAAACCCATGTAATTATAATCCACCGTTGCCCGTGGTTGAATCGTTCATCATGGACAAATAAAAGTGCAGGTTCACACGTTTTTTGAACTCGACATTCGACCTTAAACCTTTGTGATAGGTTTTTTCGAAACAGGACAATTTTGCTCAGGTGGGAGAATCATCTCAGCGGAACAAAGAAAGAGAAACTGCGATGGAAAATTATGATAGTCTGTATAAAATTGGGGTATGTACAACCCAGCGATACAACTAATGTGGAATGAAATACAGAGAGAGGAAGCGCACTCGGAATGAACAATTATGGTTGCTTATCTCTGCGGTTTCGTATAATGTACATGACATGAAAGCAGCAAAATTTTCTTTTCACATATTCATAGGCAGGAGGCGTGAAGGCAATTGCGATCTTTTGAGTGAACTTTTCGTAAAATGATAGATTCTGGCAACTCATAGATTTCATCCATTGCCGTTTTGTTGATGGTGAAAACATTTATCGGAATCGGTCACAAGCGTGTGGTTTTCTTCGTTTTCCGACAGGCGAAAGTTTGCAGACATTAGTCGCGGCCCTGTGCGACGAGGAAAGTCCCAGTTGTCCACCACTGGTCGGAATAAAGATTTCAACTTATCCACTTGACATGTGAGAATCCAGATAGCGTGTTCACGAAAACCTTTGGAGGTGAGCAGGTAGATCACAACATTGAGTGCATAGTGAGAAGCGCAGAACAAATCAATATATTCTTTGGACATGAGGTTTCCAAAAAACCTATTCCACTCGGGATCAGTCCTAATGCTCTCATCGTTCATGCAATCATCAGGTTGAGCCCAGGTGAACTGGGCAAGGTAAACCACGCCAGGTGGGACTGCACAAGCAATTAGATAGAATGATAAAATGACCAACATGATGGTAGTGGCAATGAAGGCGGAGGATTCTTGTTGTGCCTTGTCTTCAGGCGATTCACTTGCACAAACTGAATTACTACTTAGAGTGCTTGCTTTTCTCAGTTTCAGAAATAATTTTGACTGTTTTCTCGTTTGCCTCCGGACTGGCAGTTGCGTTTTAGGTGCAGCTCGGTTTCGGATTAAACGCCGCATTTCACGGAGCACAAGAATATTGAACACTAATGCAGCCAAGGGGACGATCAGAGAAAAGATGATTTCTTGATCTGTCAGAATCCATTGTATGCGCGGATCACGCAGCCATTCCATTCTCATTTTACAAACTCCATTCTCGTAAGTCCAGAGAACTGTTTGAAACAGCATCGGGACGGCACAGATGAGTAGAAGTATAACGATGGCCAAAACTGCCCTCTGTGGTGAACATAGTTTATGGCGGCGAAATGGGTAGCACACGGCCAAATAACGTTCCAGAGTGAAACCAAACACAAGGGTTGTGGAGTAGTACTGTGCAAACAGCGTGAGACACTGATAAATTTGACACAACCCATTGACAGAGGTCACACCCGGTAAGCCCCAGTAGCGCTCCACGTGATAGTTGACAAGCGTTAGAATGAGAATCAGGTCAGCAAGTGCGAGAGCAGACAGATAAATGGCCGATGTACTCTTTCGACGCTGGTGCTTTGTTACCCAGATAGCGAAAGATAGAGTGTTACCGAATAGTCCTATAGTCAGCCAAGTGATCATGACTATTTTGACCACCGTGATAGTGCCAGGCATGTAGGTCTGCAGAAATATATGCTGTGGAAGTCGTTCGTCAATCGATAAGGGCTCCAAACCGGTCTGGTTGAGCTCATAGCGATCGCGACAGGATAACGGTTGTGTTTCATTTGTAGCATTCATTGCTTTTGTTTGCTAGCTTCTGGATCATTTAGGAGGAAGGATGCTGAAAAACGAAATGAAAGGAAAAGCTTGTAGTACTTGGTGGTGTAAAAATTTTTTAAATGTGAGTTTCATCTACTAAATGACGTTGCATGACAAAGTAGTGTCACAGAAGCATCTTTTGTAAAACCTGACTGTACACTATCAGTCAATCTGCTGGTGGTTTTCACCACTTTCTTCCGCCTCAGGATTCTGAGAGCGCACTGTGTCGAATCTCCAGCAACCAATCCCCGGGAAATCAATTTTCGGATTCCTGGAAAACAAATAAAATTTCCAGAACTACAAGAATCATCTGACATTAGTGACAACCTCCAAAAGCAATCGTTTCCCTCCTAAAGCATTGAAGTTAAGCGTTGTCGATTGTATAAGGTGTTGTTTTTTGCCAGGGTATGACAAGGATTTTGAGCTTTAAGTTACTTTCGGTCTGTATGTTACAAGCACTCATTACTTTTGTAGTATGCTAATGTGACTACAAAGAGCTGTTCAGTGACGTGGGGCCAACATTCAACGAAACCGCGATCAGTTCTACCCGAAAAATACAAGAATCGATGCAATAGAATAACGGGCGTTTCCGAAAATACGAAACTAACACTACTTAGTTTTCATGCCTTGTATACAGTGTTCCTTCTTCGTAACCACTCATGGAACCTGGTTGGAGGGTTTTAAACTTTGTGAGGCCCGTATTCAGCAGAATCTATCTTATCCCAACTTCTATGTGGCTGTCTTACGGCACCCAGGCACCGCATATTATTTTATGAAAGCTTTTAGGCTGTCTGCATTCGGTTTTGTTCTCTATCTACTTGACGCCGTATGATTGTAGTCCTCTCTTTATGGACAACACAATGAGATGTTACTATGGGCCATGCTGCCTAGTGTTTTAAAGAGGCTTGATTTATGTTGTTGAGGAATACAGTTTCCACTGGAGATCAACGTGTAAATCTACTTGTACAAATAGCAATGAAGTAAAATTGAGAAAAGCGCATGTCGAATAAGAAGCACTGCTTGATGGGATAACCATCACAACTCTTTCCTTTTCACAAATGCGCTTCCCACCGCGAGTCTGAAGACCCACGATGAGTCCATGAGAAGTCCCTGCCAGGTCTGTGATACAAAACTGTGTCAGAATTAACGCAGCATTCTCGCGTATCTGCTTTCTGGATGCTGTTGTTTTGTACACAGTAACGGCGGCACAACTTTGTGGGGTTTCGTGGACACCGCGCAACTCTGAATAATCCAACAGGTCTAGCATGCACAATTTTCTGTCATTCTGTAGGACAAAAATTTAATGGAGAATGTAAATGAACTTGTTTCGACTGTCTTCAATATGCCCCGGTTTTGGTCGGCCTTGGAAGAAGCTTCATACTTTAACAGGAACACTGAAAATAGGGTGGACTCCCTATGAGGGAAATGATGACGAGTAGTCGTATCAAACAACAGACGTCAATTTCATACATAAGGCCTAGATGTACATCATTATCGAGTTTCCTACATCAAAAAGATCTTGAACCGGAGAGTACAGCTATGTTTGTCCGGGAACCGGAATGCACAAAAGCTACAGCTGCTAACCTTATTTAAAGGCAGTCGCTTGTTAGATATTTTCGAACGAAAGCATCATCAAACTCTACGAGCGAAAAATTTCGAAACGTTCTTTTCTATCAAAGTCAGTATTATCTCCCGTAAACATACTACGTAGCAAAGTTTTATCGTTACTTGTGCTGAGCAAAGGTTTTTAAGATCGCAATTTGGACTGGTTCAGGTAATGCGTCTTTTTTATATAAAGGATCTACACTTGACATAAACCCACGTTTGTCGCGTTTGAATGTAAATTTCCTCTGCATTCTCAACAACATGATGTTTGATACTTTCCATAAACGTTTGTATACATCAGACACTGTGGATCTGACTTGCAAAAGAAACGCTTTCACCAATAAAATACAGTCCCACATGTTCATATCCCAATTGGCGGGCTTTGTAGCCTCACATGAAAAAAATCATTATGCAAGAAGTTTCACATAGTTGTCAACAAAGGATGTAATCCATAAAATTCTGTCCTCACACAAAATCTTGATCATCAATCAGTGTCCAAACCTGTGATTATGTCACCTTACAAGTACCGAAATCCCCATAAATACGCGAGCGTTTTTCAGAAGAAAGAGGGTTTTGTCCAAAAGCAAAAGATAATCAAAATAGAAGTGGCCTACGTGTTTATGTAGGGTGAAAAAAATCCTCACGAGCAATTTTCTACAACTGTAACGGATCCTTTCTGACATTTTCACTCAATGTGCTTAAAAGGAAGAGTAAAGGCCTCATCTGGCTACAGTTAGTAACAACATCACTTCGGTTTGAATATGTTTTTTTTCGCTTTTATGAAACCTGTTGTAAGCAAAGCGCCTCGAACTTGTGAGTTTGACTTATCGTCTTTGTATATAGCAACAGCATTCACTCCGCATTATTCCGAAAGGATCTTCTAAATCTGCTTATCCAAGGAGAGATACGTATAAATTCTGTAAGGACACCTAGGATATTTTACCTAGGATGAAAATTCAAAAGTGTCTGGGTATTTTGAGACAAAACAGAATGATATATTTTGTATACCGCACACAGAATTATCTACGTACTTCATGATATTGTGTTGTGTATATGGTTTGGTTGAACAGACATGTCCTGTATGTATATTTTAGAGGTAACTATCAGCGGCTTTAACTTGCGCGTCAGTGAAATTTCTCCAGAACGAAAGGTTTATTTTTTTCCACATATAACTTGGGTCCAAAAAGTGTCAGACAGCGTCAGTGCCATTGCTGAAATTTTAAGTTTATGACACCGCATTAGGAAGCTTTTATGATCAGTGGTTCAGCTGAGTCTCTTAGTAACATCAGTTTGACATGCAGATATCTGTTTTTTACTCATATATTGATCTTCGCATTCTCTCCTTAAGTTTGACAGGTAGTAGGCCACCGAAAATTGGCGTCAAATATATATCTGGTGCCATATCAAGGAAGCTACCATTTCGTGGTCTAACTTCGCAAAAGTTTATTTAATAGCAACATGTGAATTTCCTTCAGTACCGCTAACACGGTCATCAGTAGGTTCTATGAAGTGGCCCCTGCTCACTTCGTCATTACGGTCATTTTTGCTCAATGCTGTTTTTTCATCAAAATGTTTTGAATAAAAAGCGGAAAAGCTTGGCCCCGGGCAAGCACGCCAAATTGCTTTTGTTTGTAAGGAAGCGTAGAGCAAGAAAATATGAGATGCTACATCGCTTGTTTTTATTCGCCTTGCCAAGAAAAAACCACGACTGGGCACACAGCAGCTGGTCGCTTCTAGAATGGGCAAATTTATCGTGTCTTCATTAGGCTTGCTCCTCAAGATGGATAGAGAAAGGCAGTCCAAATTTACTCCACAATCAATAGACAGCGTTTTCATCACTTGAGTCATCAATATTTAAGGAGAAAGGGTGACCTGTTGTGGTATCTTCAAAGGTTGCAAACTCATTTCAAGGCTCATGTTAGCCTGGCAAATTCTTTTCATCTTGACGATGATACCGTCAAAGTTGTAATTCACCGGTCTCGATCCAAAATCATCAGCCTGATAATGGTAGAAAGAACACGTTTTTGGCCCCATCAGCATTTAGTTCATTCTCAGATCCAGTGCGCACTTCAACTTACTCACCGTACTGTCGTCGTAGAGTGAGTTAGCAGTTTGTTTTCCCCAGCAGGCGTTAGCCGAAATCCCTTTTTTTTACGTTATTACAATAGTTAAACGGTGGGATTTCTGCTTTGAATCTTTGCTTGACCTCGGAGTCGTGTGTTTCATTCGTCACCTCTCCCAACAAGAGGCAAGATGACATTAAAGAAAGACCGTCCATCATTGTTTTTCAGGTAAAAAACGTAGAGTTTATACACATGCGTAGACCCCCAGTGCCCACATACAAACTATTGCAATTTGTTCTCGAACAAGTGAGTAGTAATCTAAGTCGACTCGGTGCATCGGACACGGGTATGACAGAAAGCTTTTCCTAGCATGTCTGTGAAGTGGAGTGACTTACGCATAACACAAATGCATTGGATTAGTTTGTTTTTGATGTTCTTAGTATCATACTACAGATGATATGTGGCATTTCAGTATTGCAAGTTAAACGTCGCCAGGTTAGATGATACAGGCAACAGTATCGTAGAATAATGCAGAGTCATTCATTTGCACACATGTTGCTATGTATACTCTGTGATATGTTTTGCATACAGTGGTAAACATCATTCGATTACCAGATTTGGGACAGCCATTGTTGTCCTAATGCAGGCAAAACCTGCATCAGTGACATGGCTGAGAGGGAATTTGTAAGCAAACTTTGGAAGATTAGCTTCTTCAGCAATCCCAGGATATTTAAACCCAAATGGCACTAAAGAGTTTCACTCAACTCCACTTCTTGGGAGGTATATATAAACCATGTAAACTGATCGAGATCCATTGTTATTGTGCTTACTGACTTAGCACAAGAGTCTCTTTAGTGTTGCGGCCCATATTACTCTGAAGTACATCTCAGACTTGTTCCTTCCCAGAGAATAAAATGTGTTGAAACTTGAATGTCCAGATGGCGTGGTATGAGTGAAAAACTGTGTTATATTGACCTCAGATGAAGCTAACAACTGCTTTACGAGGGTGAAATGGTTGCCAGTTCAGACTAACGCGATTCAAGCTGAAACTTACAGCGTTCCGCCGTACCAATTCATTGAAAGGAGAATATTGATCATAATAAGCGTCCGTGTTTCTTACCGGGTTTGATACTGTCTCGATCTATTGGTTTTTCAGACCAACAGGCGTAACTTTCCCATTTAAGTTCTGGGTCGAATCAGAAATAAAAACCTACTGCATAATCAGCGCCCATCGTAAGACATACAAGGCCACAGCAACCCGTCTTCTGACAAAGTGATTACTGTAGTCAATAGTTATGCACTGAGTGCAGCTCGTTCCATTACTTTCGCATTCTGGTGCTCCGAAATGTGTTGTGCCCCAATATGGCATCTTAATTAAATAAATACTCAAGCGTTCCTATTACTCGTCTTGTCCTTTACTTCAGGTAACCGGTATTAAATACTGATAACAAACCCTAATAGCGGCTTCAAGGTCAGCTGATTTCTGTCACATCACACTTCGACCAATCTTCCTCGTTCAAAACAATGAATGCAGTAAAGTGCCCAGTTGGTCTTGACAAATTTCGAACCAAGTTTTAAGTTAGATTTTGAGGTTGATCTACTTCCTACTAAACAAGTAACATGTAACAAGGCTTCCCTTTGATTACGAACTGAACGATTTCCTCATCCAATGGATGCCAGTAGGAAAAGATTATTGCAAGTATGAAAGTTAGGCTTAAGCTCCGAAAGGGGTTGGGAGCGGTTGTGCACTCTATAGATTATTAATTGCCTTCATGAGTGTCGTTAAAACATGTTCTGATTGTTCTACTAATGTTTGTTCAACGCGGCTGGGGATTTTAGCATTCGCTTACTGTAATCTCAGGCTGGACATCTCCAATGAAGTAGGTGGAATCTTCCGACATTCAGTGGACACTACCATTGATTATAGTGCACCGCTGGCACAAAGCCTTATTCTGATTCGGTCTAGTCAACGAGGCATCCCACGCCTTAAGTTTAACTTACACCATTGATAGTCACAGGATTCAATAAGAAGGTACCGCATGGATGTCACAGGCAAATCTGTCCGCATCTTGCGAATGAATGTTCTTGCTGTTCGCCTTCTACTGTTAGTTAAATCAGGAGCCAATTGGCCGTTTTCTATCCTTCAAAATGATTTTTTCTGCCCTTTCTCCAATATTATTCGCTTTTTGACTAACTTAATCATATATTGGGTCAGACGCAAGTTTGGCGGTGCACGTTCACATAGTTGCATTTCATGTGGTCGCATCGTTAACTGGTGAAGGCGTATGAGCCTTTATTATAAGTAATTTTTTTGTTCCTTAGCATTTTGTGACGACGTTTCAAGGAAGCTTCGCATTTCGGAAAACTGTGTAGGAAGACAAAAAATAATTAAACGTTTTTGTTTACGATAACCTCTTGTTGCACAGAAGCTCGGTAACGCAAAGGGAGCATAAAACCTGGGCGCTTCCGTGTGTGTCAACCCTTGACAGTTGCGAACGGATAACAAGAGATGGGTTCAAACCACAAAACTTTCAATCAGTATTCTTACAGCTTAGCCCTCGAATTCTCAGAATGCCAACAGCTAATACAGCCAGTATTTATGTTGAATTAACGTAATGTGACGGTGTAAAATCGATGAAACATCTTAGCTTTTACGTTGCTAGGCGGTTGCAAATAGGAACTTTTCAATGGTGCGCGAACATATTCTTCTCATAATTACTGATACTCGAATGGGCTTCATTGACCATGGTGAAAAAAGGTTTTCAACGTGGACATCTTGATCTTTTCTTGACACAATCTATCCGAGACCAGGCCCTTGGAGCACAGCTTACTGAATCGCCCTAACTTTTGAAAACTCGCTCTCTTCGCTCCTAAGTTGTGTTAGGATTAGATAGATAGAGCACTTGCCATTAAGTGGGACCGCCTATCTGCACTTCAACCTCAAACGTTCAGGCTATTGTAAAGATATAAAGCCACAAGCCCCTAAGCCGTAAGCCCCCCAAGTAAATTCACTGTCAGTAATTTGCAGTGAATAACAGTTATTGGAGCCCAGTCAACGAATGCCAGGTTACGGATACGTGCGCATAAGTGGGCACGTGACTGTGTTTAGAAGAGTAAGTGCAACCATTGTGTTACTCGGGGACTTGAGGTCGTCATAAACTGCTCTTCAGTTCAAACTCATATTATGTAGACGTGATGCTGGTGGTTAGGTGTGCTGTCCGGAAGCCAGATCGGTGTGGTGTTTTGTAACAGCTATATGACACTAGTATTCTGTCCTTCATTTGGTTAGTCCGATAGCATATGTCCTTGAAAACGTGCCACCATATTGATTATCAGAAATATATATGTAAGGTTGTTGTATTCGGATCGATGTATTATACCTCCAGGTGTAAAATAATTACGCAAATTGATAAAACGAAGTTCTGAGTGTGCCTTTGTTGGTATTTACCTTCTATAAATCATAGAAATTTGTCTTACCGTGAATTCACAGAGCCTACAGAGTGGAACTGCCTTTTTTTCAAGCCCATGTAAGAGTCTAAGGAGAATGCTGTGAGCATCCCGGCATCATCGCTATGGTTTCACTGTGTGCACTTGGGGATTTATTATTATGTTCTCTGCCGCAATAAATTACTTTATTTCTGGGGAAAGTAAAAATCTAAAAGACTGATTCACTCAACATTGGAAACACTAAAAAGGTTTTAACTAACGGTAGAACATGTCTGCTACTCTTTAGCAGAAAATGTAATAGAGACAAGATTTTGAAGATAAATGACCTAAACTTTCACCACTTTTTGTGTGGATGCATTTCTAACTTGAAAGCCTCTGTCAAGGTTCAATCAAGTTGGAGGGGAAAGCGGACTTCGGTTGGAATAGACTGCAGTTTATAGTAATTAACTTAGATTTCCTATTGCATTCGGTTGACAAAACCTACTGATCTGTGTGAACTGCTAAATAGTCGGAGATTCGGGTTTAGGCGTGAGGGAAATTAAGCGGGTTTTTATCAATTTGGACTTTCCACTCCCAATTTCGAAGACCCAAGCTGAATGGATGGAATACTCATTTTCAGTGATAACCGCACCCCGCTCACATGACTGACTTAGAACCTTCCTTCACATGGGTTCTATTTTACTCACACTCGGACACTTCGCGATTTCTACTACGTTGGTCACCAGATACCGTCGTGCAAGCCTCCAACGCGGGACTTATCTTATCTGATACTTGTGGTTTGCACGGAGTGACCAATGTTTGACACCACTCTTTGTTGAACCTTCATACCGAGGCCAATGAGTCCTCCAGTTGTTAGTCAGTGTAACTTCTCCTTGGGCCTTATTTTTGACTTCACGTTTGACTGCTAATTGGCTGACCTGGTCAGTGCAGTACTTCGGCTTTACTAAGCTATCTAGCGTACACTAACTTTGAACAGACAGGCGAATAGTTTAAAACCATGCAAGTGTCCAGCTATTCCAGGTAAATGAAATAAAGTACAACGCTCAGATTTTCAACTACCAGCTCAGTATCTGTCATCCTCTCACCCACTCGTCAGGAGAGTGGATTTCGGTAGGAATAGTCGGGAGGAACGTTCGACTAGTTTGCGTTAAACGAGGAGTTTTTAGCGGAAATATCATCGGTAAAAACGTTAGAATTGCAAGCAGAAAAGATGGCGCCGAGAAACCATATATTTTTGAGTAAATTAACCTAACTGATGACGTCAATCAGGAGGTACATTTGTAAACGCTGAGTAAACGCAATGATAGTTTTCGACGCTACATGCGAATGCCGTTGATTTTATGGTCATTTAGATGTGATGAAAAGAGGACAGCCCTCTTGCGCACGAAATATAAATTACGATAAGACAGGAATAACAAAGCATACATTAAAAGAAAAACTATTAAAAGTTAATTATTCTCATGCGGAGGAGGATTTTTGGCATTTTTGTGGAACGGCCAATTTGTTTCCTGATATCTTGAGCTATCAACCAACTCAGCATGTTCACATTTTCAATGCATTCAGTACAGCTTTATGATGATTTGAGGTGACCTCTTTGGACTTGTGGCCTTTCATACCGCATGATGAAATGTCGCAAAAGTTTATCACTGCATTCCGAACGAAGCACAAGTTTTGGCGTATTTTAGGGTAAATGACGTCACATGTTATTTCTTATCACGACATTTCTCACTCATCTACACGTGACTTGTTCTTCCAAAGCTCATTATTTAGTCGAGGCTTCACCGGTTCACCTGTCAAACCGAATGGTCCATTTAGGTGCATATATGCCTTGTCATCGTGTCTCAAAATATCTTCACGGA